TCTCACAAAAAATTAAACGAAAAATGCAGATAAAATACATGAGAATAAAATATCAAACCAAAACTCCAAATACAACCAGATAGAGCAAACCTGGCTAATCACCATGACATTCCACAACTGTGAAAGAAATAAATATGGCACGTAAAACTGCTTATAGGAAGAAAAAATATGTAAACAACATTATCTTACCTTCTTTGCTGAATTCAGCTGCTCCAATAATTCCTTCAAAGAACCATTTAGACCATCAGCCAGACTGTTGGCGTCACAGCCAGTGCCTACTCTCTCCTCCAAGTCACTAATATCAGCTTCCAACGCAAAATGTTTTGCACTATTATTAGACTGGAATTCCAAGTTTCGTTTCTCCAATGCCTGGATAAACCTTCCAATCGTGACCATCAACAACACTCAGTGAACAATATGATAGTTATAGAAAACAGACAAAACGATACAGAAATGGGTCAAAGAGTTAGAACAGATACTGATGCAGATCAAAATTACAGCTAGAGGTACACAACAGCAATGAAGTCCCTTCCTATCAGTCTATTGCATAATATACTGTGAATATTTTTGTGGAACCTCAATATATCATAATAACTAGAGAGAGAAAACACTTTTTTCTTGGATTTAATTTATAAAGGAAACAGAAAATTTTCACTAATCACATGGATATTCAAATGAACACATAAAAACGTTTATTTTTTTGTCTGTATGGTGAGAGAAAATAATACCGCCAAGGATTTAGTTTTATGAAGAGACAAACAAATTATCAGTAATCATATGGATATATACACACACAAAGAAAATTCTGTTTCTATATCTATGTACAAGCACAAGCAAGAGAACCTATAAACTTATAAGTTCATAAATATGCATCAAATATCAAATATGAAAAAGAAGTGCACCTTTAACAACTGCAAAAGATATCTCAATTTTTGCACTGAAGTATCGGCTCCATCGTTGTTGATTCTCTCTTGCAAGCTTCGTAATTCATTCATAATGTTATTTTTTTTTTTATTCTGAAACAGCATATGCATGAACAGAAAGGAAAATGTAAACAAAAGGAGACCAAATTAATAGAAAGTGGATGAAATAAATGAAGACAAAATAAATAGAACAGTACATCTAGTTACCTGTTTAGTCAACTCAGCACTCAACATCTTAATGGAAGTTTTGCTGCTGTTCAACTCCTCCTCGATTTGCTGAAGGGTACGTTGTCTATCTTCAATGGGATGTTCTACCTGAGTAACCAATGCATCCCAATACAAATTTGATATAGCACCAAAGAAACAAAAGAGAAACTGTTGCTATTGAAAAATACTGATGCAGAACGAGTTATGCCTAAATAGATTAGAAATAATAATTTTTTAAATGTAAAACTACTATATTATTTAGAAATATAATATTCTAGTTCAAGTAATTTAAGATTTTTATTTTTATTAGTATTTTCCTATTTGTATTAGGATTGGTACTCCTAATATCATTAGTATTTTTTCTTATTCTTATTAGAATTATATATTTTTAATTCTATTATTTTAGTAGTTCTTAGTTTAATCCTAGTTGGGAAAATTGATTTAGAGATTATTATAAACATCTTTATAATTTCACTTATTGATTCAAGTATTTAATAATACTTATTTTGAGAATTTCTCATAATTGATTGCATGACTTGATCAATCCTTAGTTGTGATATCTAGATTTTCCCCAATTTCTTAGTAGACAAATTAACCTTAATTTGTCATACTTCATTTAGGTATCATACTTCATGTTATTAGGATTACATATTTCTAATTCTATTACCTTAGCAGTTCTTAGTTTAATCCTAGTTGGGAAAATTGATTTAGAGATTATTATAAACATCTTTATAATTTCACTTATTGATTCAAGTATTTAATAATACTAATTTTGAGAATTTCTCATAATTGATTGCGCGACTCGATCAGCCTTTAGTGTGATATCTAGATTTTTTCCAATTTCTTAGTAGACAAATTAACCTTAATTTGTCATACAAATATTCTTACTGGGCAATTTTAGAGAGGGAGAGAGATAGATACCTTAATTTGTCATACTTCAATTTCTTGTATACTCTTTCTTGTTTTGCAGTTTCTTTTGCAAAGATGTGTAATGGAAAAAGTTTAAAGCATGTGGAATCGTAAGGAAGAGAATGAGTCATCACTCAAGGATGATGGGATTGACAAATCTTTCTTGACTGCAATTAAGCACAATTGTGCAGTTAACATAGAAAAAGGTCTAGAGTATTCTCTAATTTTACAAACTGTAACTCGTTGTGAAAACAAATACAAGAAACTTGTCATCCATGAAGAATGTTGAAAAAATCTTGCTTCAATATCTACAGCTGAACAACTCAATCTTTAGACGCTACTGGATCCCCAACCATACAGACTAGCATGAACAGATAAATTGAGCATTTTGCTAACTCAACAAACTCTTGTTTCTATTCATCATGGTACTTGTAGTGATCCAATCCTGTGTGATGCAGTTTCGACAATGTTCACACATATTCTTTTAGGTAGACCTTGACTTGTGATTGAAAAGCTTAATATGATGGGATAATTAACACTTATCGTTTTTATGCATGACATAAAAGATATAGTTTTAAAGTCTCTTACTACAGAAGAGATAAAAAAATATAAACGTCCAAGCACCTCTAGTCAGTGGAAAACATAAAGAGGAGTCCTCGAACAACAGTCATGTCCTCATAAGAGTAAAGATATTGAGATTATTCAAGATCTTTCACCACCTATTGAGAGTTCTATAGAAGTTCAATGCAAGGAGGAACCTAAGCCAATAATTAGGACTAATGATATTCAACTCAAAGATGAAGTTGAAGTGCCAATTGGTCAATATGTTGATTTCATCCCACCATCAAGATCCCACACTCAGAAAAGGTTACATGTTTCCATCATGTTTGCTGCTGAAGAGAACGACCAAGCGAAAAGGTTGCTACATTTTTTATTTAAAAAAAAAAGGTTGTCACATTCTTACTGGAAAGCTCGAGTATCAAGTTTTTACATTATTAGTTACTTCAAAGCTCATGGACAAGTTTTCTCCAATCAGGGGAGAATGATGTAGAATGAGTTATGCCTAAATAGATTAGAAATAATAGTTCTTTTAAATGTAAAAATTATTATACTATTTAGAAATATAATATTATAGTTTTAATAAGTTAGGATTTTTATTCTTCTTATTATTTTCCGATTTGTATTAGAATTAATACTCCTAATAGTACTAATATTAGTTTCTTATTTTGATTATAATTAGTATTCTTAATTCTATTAATTTATTATTTATTAATTTAATCCTAATTAGGAAAAATTACTTAGAGATTATTACAAATAATTTTGTATTTCACTTATTGATCATTCAAATATTCAATAATATGTATTTAAAAAAAAAGTATTATATAATACTTTTTTTGAGAATTCTCATAATTGATTTTGTGACTTAGCCTAAGAATCCTAAGTGTGATATTTAGGTTTTTTCCAATTTCTTAGTAAGCAAATCAAACCGAATTTGTCCTACACCGAATACAGATGATAGATTTGCAAAGCTTGCAACCAATTGGATGGTACAGTTCCATTCAGGGCCTTACCAGAAAAAAGTGAGTCTGGATTACAAGATTAAATCTAGCTCAGGATTTAACAAGTACGACAACCCCGGAGGAAAAAAAGATGCTATCCACTTGAGTGCACATAAAACATCATGAAATATCAGTATTCACATATTAATTTTTCGACCTAGTTCCAGTCAGAAAACTAAAATAAACATCTGTAGTTGAAAATGCTAAAGCACCTCATATCAAGACAAATCACAGTTATCTAGGAGTAAAAATAATAGCCTTAAGCAAGCTTATTACCTTATATTTACTATCTTCTTTCATCTTTTGAATAGAGTTAATAAGCCACTCTACCACAGGAATCACACCTTCATAGTCAAGGTCTAGAATTTGGATAGCCTGAAGTTGATATGGACATCCGATGAATCTGAGAGCTTCTTCTATCTGATTAGCAGCTTCACTACACCACAATCAACCGACATTACATAATACTATATTTGCATGCATAAACACATAAAAACAAGTTTGAGTTGGCCATAATCTTATGATCGATTCATACGAATGACCAGCATAAATCACAATAAGATATCTCCAGTGAAAAATGAACTTGAAAAATGCTTAGATTGAGGTTGTTTAGGTATTGTAAAGTAAAAGGACCTGTCTAATCACCAGGCTATAGCTTATAAAGTTCTCTTGAAAACTTAAAAATCTCAATTCTTTTCCCAACCCAATTTGAAGGACTAGCAGTCTAAACTACTTAACTATGTAATGTTTGCGGAAAAAAACTTCAAACCTACAACAAAATTAACACAGGACAATTCAAAATCTTCTTTCACAACCTTAAATTTCATAAACCTCCCGAACAAGGAAAGGTTAAACACATATTAACTGATCAAATGCTACCATTTAAACAAAAACAGAAACAACTGAATTCTAAATTAGAGAAGTTATTTACATAACATATATTTAAATTGGTACATGCACTTATATATGGTGGAGAAAGAGGGAGAGCCATGTACGTTTTATTGAGAACTTGGATCGAAGCGGCGTCTAAAGGGGAAGCGACGGTTGAGAGGGCAGCTATGCATCGGGAAATGCCGGCGATGAGATTATCGGCTGTGGAGGTAAGGACGGAATCTGGTGTGAGGAAACCGGCCGATTCGAGAAGACGGAGCATCAGCTGTAGCTGACTGTCTGACTCTGAGTCAGCCATGGCGCTTGATTCGTTGGTCAAAGTTTTCCTTGTCGCGTTTGTCAACCAGGATCTTGAACTGTATAATGGGCTAAGGGTGAAGTTAGAAACATTTCAATGGTTTTGTCAAAATGACTGGCCTTAGTTTTAGGGTTTCTTTTGGGCCTTTATTTTTTTTTTAAATCGTCATTTTAATTTGGATTAATACAATTGGTCCTCAAATAAATAAATAAATAAATATCTGATATTGCTAAAATAAATATAAATGTATTCAAGAGTTTTTAAGTTATTTAAGGTGGATATATTTTTATTTAATAATAAATAGTTATATCAATCACTACTTAACTAAATGTTTGTCTGCATGCATGAAGACATACATACGTCTTCTTCTTCATTCCCCACATTTATATATACATAATAGTTTACATCTACCACATATATACGTCTGTAATACATATCATCAAGAAATATATAAGAACCTTCAATCTTATTAAGCTATAGTTGAAATTGTGTGAATGGGAAAGCACGTTTCCAGCACTGGGGAAATGCTGAAAATCTGAGTAGGCTATACTCTGGCATCCGAATTCAAAAAACGAATCAAATTCTAGTACCAGAATTTGTAAATAGATGAAGCCGATTATCATATACGAGCTGACATGAATTGTCACATCTAACATTACGAATATGAAAATGAGCGTGCGTAAAGTGAACGCTTCCACACCATGGAATGTATAGTCCGTACCGTAAAAGATTAAAAGAGTGGACAGCATAACAACCAGTCATGATACTCAACCAGAGATGTTACATGTCACAAGTCAGACATTGAACAACAGCATGACCTCTAACCAAACATAGAAGACGAGTTCGAGGTTAGTTAGGGTTATCCAAAGCTGATTTTCCAACAAAACACAAAATGGCCAGATTTGGCAAGATAACGACAAAACTACAAACATTTGATTGACCCTCTAAAAATAAGACCTAATCATGTTTCCCCCGGCATTCTCTTGAGGGGGGAAACAATCATATTATTTCCACAGCTTCACAAACTTGTCATGACTGGCTGAAGCAACCAACCCGGTAACAGTTGATACGGCCAAAGCTGCGATAAGCCCTTCATGGGCTGATAGAGTCATTGTCTTGTTCTCACTCATGTTCCAAAGCTCTAAAGACTGCACCAAATACCCAAGAATTGCAGGTCAACATTAGATTATTAAACTTTTGCAGCCATAAATACAATTTTAGTCTATTTTGATGTCAGGACTCTCAGAACATGCAATTAAAATATGAAGCTAAGAAAGTGAATGAAAAGTCAGGAAACAAAAAAGCATTTAAGCCATAAAATAAAAAAAGCCTATATGAAGCTAAGAAAATATCAAAGACATAATAAATTACAGTCTTAAAAACAAAAAAAATAGCAAATTCGTATTTGTAGTGAAAATGAAAAAAAATAAAATACAAAAAAATAAAATTAGAAAAAGTGAAAAAGCTCATTAATTAGCAGCACATAACTAATTGGGTATTTTATTATCAAAAATGTTCAAACTTTAATCATTCATGAACTGGCGTTCATCAGCATTTTAATATTATCGTAACCTCTAGTTGCAAAGTGTCTGGCTCATAAATGAAGTGCGGACAGATCTCACCCTCACACCAGTGCCATACCGTTCCAATATAGATATGGCCAGAAATTATCACTTGCACTGGGTAGCCAACTTAAGGAAATAAACAGTCATCAATATAAAGAAACTTGCCTGGTAACAGCCAATGACTAGCAAGGACGGATAAGTAGGATGGAAAACACATGAATGGAACTTGTTGCCGTTACAGCTCAATTCATGAACACAGTCACCTTCACTACCGGAACCAAGTGTCCAAACTCTGACAGAGTCCTCGCTGACAGATGCTAGAAACTCACCAGAAGGATCCCAACACACAGAATGTATTGGTTTAGTATGTCCCTATAATCAGAAATTCACGTTTTTTTTTTATAAAGAAAATTTATTAGTGAAGGAAAGAAGAATGAGGAATACAATTAAAGAGAGTAAGGCAACCTCCTCAAAATGAAATTGCCAAAAATAAAGAGATGCAAACAACTAATACTCTAACTGCTAGGCATAAAAGCTTCCCAATTTCGATGGAGCTCGGTTATGCTAGTGATGGAATAGTATCCATGCATTACAATCAGAAATCCACATATAAACCCTCATGCATTAAGTAAACAATAAACACTTATCAAAGTGACTCCTGTACCACAATAAGATCTCAACAATAAACAGTTTTCACTAGAAAAGATCTTGTTCCTTTTCTTTTTTTTGTTTTTATGATTTTTTAAGGAGGATACTTTATCCTCCAGGTATACACTGTATTTGTCCTCTTTCTTCCTTATGAATCTTCTTCTTTTGTCCAAAAGAAGTTAGAACAGATGTTTTTTTCAGTTAAATAAAACCTAGCTTCTTTCTTTTCCCTTATCTCCTTGGACTTTGGCTACACGGAAATGTTTTTGTGTACTAAGTAGAATATCAGCTAACAAACTGATGATCAACAAAAGAAAAAATTATATCGTTGGCTATATTCAGAAAAAAATTCAAAATTTTATACAGGAGTCATTTACAAATCTATATTTATTTCAACTAGATGGTGATGAAAATTCTATCTAAATTAACAAAAATTGTGTGCTCGTGGAATTTTATATGACAGTGGAACAATATATTTCAAGTTTCACCAAATTTGGAGGTATTCGTAATGCATTATTTTAGTTCCACATAATTCCATGCGAGCTCAATTTTTATAATCTCCTAATCAAATTTATATTTTTCCTAGTTAAAAAGAATATATAGAAAAATATATATATTTTTCCTAGTTCTATCTATATATAATATAGTTAGGCTGCCTCTGAAGCATATAAAAGCACTGCAGCAAATTCTTACTGACGTTCAAGCAAAATACAATAACATTCAAATTTGTTATTGATGCCCAGTGCAGACTTTCCTAGCAAATGAATCTTGGCCTTTGGAGGTCACCAAGAGAATCCATCATTGAATTAGCATTTGTCAAATATAAAAGGACTCGAGCAAGATGTTTGAGGCAGCATTTTTCACCCTTAATGGAAGATAAGAAACCAAGGTACATGAAACTAGGGATCCTAACCTTAACATAATTGTATGATGACAGAAGAAAATGCAAAACTGACCTGCAGTGAATGCCGACAAGCCTGTGTTTCCACATCCAATATAGATACAACATTCTCTGCTGCAGCAGCAAGATACCTTCCAAGACGAGGTTGAAACCTCATCTGGGCTGTACCACCCTAATACACACAAAAATATTAGTTTGCATATTACAAATTTACAAGAAAAGCCTGTTCCCCACCCAACCAAAGTGTTTTACTTTGAATTGTTCTAGCCAAAAAACCAAAGTGTTTTACCTTGAACACTCTAGCACAGCTCCCATTATTTATGCTCCAGTATCGTATTTCACCATCACCATCACAAGAACAAATGAGATCATCTTTTATTTGGGTGGAAGTCCAGTGGACATAACAGAAAGCTGAATGCCCCATAAAGGTACGCAGTGAATAACCAGGCTGCAAAATAAAGTAAAAGAATTTACATGATTTTCCATAATCAAAATCGACTAAACTAGTGGCCGAT